TTAGCCCGAGACCATGTACTAATGCAGGGACTTTGGCCCAATTTGAAGCAACTTTAAAAATTCGTAAAAAATCCAATTTGTATCGGAATGAGTTCAAACTTTCTACACAACATAAGAACATGTATATGTATTAGGGTATATTATAAAATGAAGAATTCTCTACTTTTCAATTTTGGCAAAATTTGGCCTGAGACCCTGTACTATAGTACAGGGACTTTGGCCTGATTTTGAAGCAACTTTAAAAATTTGTAAAAAATCTAAATTTGATCAGAATGAGTTCAAACTTTCTACACAACATAAAAACATGTATATACACATTCTAATGTACACATGCAGTAAATTAATATCCTTCTTACATTCTAATCCAAAGTTATAGTACACCTGTTCTTCAGTCAGGTCATAACTCAGGACACTTTCATTGCGTAGCAGATAATCATTATTATTAACACCGTCATTAGACCCCAACAGACCCCCTGTGGTACCAGAAAATTCAGGACCCAGCTCGACTCCCATGTACAAAAATCCCTCTTGCTTCCCAATATTTAAAACAGCTCCAGACCCGGTACTAACAATCATAGAGTCACCACTGTTTAGTATGTAGACATTATTAATGTGGGCGGGGTTGGCTGATGAGAGGTGGGCGTTATTGTATGTTCCTGTTTCCGTGACAACGAGGTACTCCCCATCCCGTGGGATGTCCCTGTGCTCTGAGTTTCCAATGTAAAGTACAAAAGAGCCGAGAGAGTTTAGTTCAAACTGGACCAGCTGAGAGCTAGCACTCTTAATAGCAACAGCTGTTAATACAGTCGCATTACCTATGAATAATTATTATTTAAAAAAGATTGGCTAGAATTCACTCTGTATATGTTTTATGAATAATAAATAAATAAATAAACAAACAAACAAATAGATAAATAAATAAATAAATAAACAAACAAACAAATACATGTAGATAAATAAATAAAAAAGTGCATTATAACTAAAACATTTTAACACAAAAATGAGCTGCTACATGTAAATTTATACAATACATACAAGTACATGTACATGTACATGTCTTATGTTCTTACCTATATATGCTTGCAGTCTTATTTGTACATTAAGTTCATGTACTGATGATTGTATCAACTGATATTCACCGACTCCATTGAATGTGAACGTGCTTCCATCAAACGTCTCAAAGTGAGGGTCACCCCATATGAACCCTAACAGGAAGAAAGGAGGATGAGAAATAATATACATGTACATGTGCTTGTATAAATAGAAATTATTAATACAGTATATAATATATATATATATATATATATATATATATATATATATATATATATATATATTTGCTGGTTGTATAGTTGGTTTTATAGTTGTCAAACAAAATGCAGAACTCAAACAAAAATAATTAAAATTTTAATGCATAATTTGGGCAGATCATCCATGCAAATTTAAACCCTCAAAAGTTTCCAGAAACAAACATGATCACCCTCTCTCTCTCCCCCCTCTCTCTCCCTCCCTTTCTCTCCCACACTCCTCTCTCCCTTACCTGAAGTAAGTGGTAGATATCCTTCACAATTAGAGGATGGTCTGTATTTATAATACAACACACAATTATCACTCTCAACACAACAATCTTCAAACGGTCTACTATCACTGACCAAATGTTGCTCAGGATAAAACAATGAGTGATAATAATGATAGCTACCAGAAGCAACAGTGTCAACCACTAAAGATCCTAAAGTATCGTAGCAGCACTCAAGCCCGTGCTGTGACCTTGTTACTACTGCTATGGCACAGTTATTCCGTGAAGGAT